TAATATGGCTAAAAGCTCACAAGAGTCAGTTTTGCGTAATATAGGAACTTTAATAAGCCTTAAAACATGAACAAAGACTTACATTTTGTAGTAGTCAAGATGCTGCGTGTTACACTATACCATACTTAAAATCTATTCAGAAATATGTTCATATCTTTGTGAGGACAATTATTTTAACAGCTAAAGGGTGTCATTATTTATTTATTGGTTGGTTGGGGCAAAGCTCTGTTGCCATCTATTAAAAGTTAAAGATGATAGTACCTCAAAATACTTTTCTAACAACAAGTGTGTATTTTGTATGTTCTTGTATTTATTGACTTGTGTGATGGTGAAGGGACCTGCTATGTGACGACTGTGTAATTGACACAGACAGATAGCAGTCAGAAGTGATTAGTTCCATCTTAGTAAGCAGTCCATCTGTAACATGGCTGACACTTTTAAAGAAAGATGCACAGGCAGCAAAGGGCAGAAGATGGGGCTCTGGGATTTCATCTTTAGATGTTTAATCAACTGCACCATAAAGCAGTTGTGGCTGAGAATAATCTAGTATAGCCACGCACTAGTTATATTGGATACCAACAATCTGACAAAAAGACAAAAAGAAATTTTACTAGAAAAGCACTCAGAGAGCGCAGACCTCCGCCAAGGACTACCCCCATTTTTTATATAAATTGCGATAAAATCAGTCTTCTGGATCAGATCCGGATCAGCCTTTGGAATATGAAAGAGGATCCCATTGTCCATCCCTGAGTCAAATTTCATGGGGTTTGGTCAATAATTAACCGAGATATTGAGAAACAAAATTTTTGGCCCCATTTACCACAATGTTAACTAAAATTTCAAAGTGATCCAGAATCCAGGATTTCTTCCGGATCACCCCCAAAATGAAATCAGTTCTTCCTTTTCACATTTCCAACAAATCCTGAAAATTTCATCAAAATCGGTCCATAACTTTTTGAGTTATGTTGCTAACAGACAAACAAATAAATAAACAAACAAACAAACAAACAGACAAACGCCGGCAAAAACATAACCTCCTTGGCGGAGGTAAAAAATGATTTTACTTTGTTTCCCACAACTTGTTAATCCACTATTTAACTGACAAGTGTTTTTGACATTTGACATTTCTGCTGGTTATCTTAAAAGCACTTTGCTGTGTTCAAGGCCTTGTGTTTGTTGACTGTTAGGTATCTGGTTGTATCTCTCAGTGTCTTTCTGGTTTGGAGGTTTCTGAATTTGTATGCCAAAGAACTCATTACAAATGTTTTCTAAAGATCAAAATCCAGCAAATGTAAAACAACATTATAGCCAATGTTTAAGTCTGACTAACAAGTGCAATTAAAAAAGACTGGACATTGGACTGAATTGGAAATAAAATCCAGATTTGATGAGTCCTTCGTTGCAATGTAAATAGATGTGTTTGCTCTCTGATGTCCCCCTTTTTAATATTTGACAAGTGCTAATTACATTCTGTGTTAATTGCAAATTGACTACTGCAAATTTACATGATTGATTGGGATTGTATAAACAGTGCCTTCATGGGAAAAAAAAACAAACTCTAAGTGTACAGTATAGAACATGGAGCTGTGAAATGCTATCACATTTATCACACTTGCATGGGCACATGTGTGTAACATAGACGCACAAGCAGCTCACAACATGTCTCCACTGAGCGCGAACATGATCTAAATACTAATCAAACATCACTTACAGCTGGCTTTATTTGAAGTACCCAAGAGACTGTCCCAAGTTGCTTCTTCTCCATGGTAACCAGGGATTCATTTCAGAGGTGTCATGCTGCATTATCATCGGCGCGGTTCATCCACTCCCCTCTGGCCCCCGGCTTCATGGCTTTGTCCCCTCCATGTGACAAGCGACCAGGACCACAGCAAACACCACCAGCGATACTGTGCTAATGTCTTTCATTTTGGGGTGACTGTTTTTGCACTAGTTTGGTCCGCCTGCTGGGAAAGAATTAAATCTAATCAAAACATGTTTTCACATAATGTCTTTGATGAGGAACTAATAAGTTTTTGGTTTTTTTTGACAACCCATGTGGGAGAAGGACTGCACAGCAGATATTCCTGTATTTTCATAAACAAACACACATTGTACAATCTAAACAGTTGAAGTATAAGGGTTATCTCAAAATATGCATTGTATAATATTGAAATTAATTTAGTAATTGTACAATTACAACAACACAATGCATTACATGTACCCATGATGTTCAGATCTCTCTTATTTGATGAATCATAAATTGACGGAAGACTTTTCACACATGACAGGTTCAGTCACACCAATGGCACATGGCTGTTCTCTCACCTCTGTTTAGTGTTAAATTTGTGAAGCTATAGTTTTCAGTTAAAAACAACACACAGTCAGCTTGGAGTGATTAAAACAGCCCCTCTGGGACTAAAACTGTTTAATGAGAGTAAAGGATTAAAAAGATTTTTACATTTCTGTGCACTGCACATCAAAAGAGGCTAATGATGGTTTTATCCTCCAACTAAATAAATATTATGTACAATATGATTGTACATAATACAATCAGCAAAAATGGTACAGGCATGATAAATAATTGCAAGCAAATAAATCTTAATTGCGCAAGGGCGAGAGAGAATTTGTGTGTTTTAGTATGGTTTGTAACCATCTAAATGTCAGACCAGTACAATGAAAAACCATAAAAGCTAAGCTACTATGATCTTAAAGCAAGTTACCAACCACAGAATTAAAGGCACCTCTTATTAAAATACCTTAGTAGAGGTCTGGATGTATGCTGCAGATTTACAAGACAAGCTGAGAACTAGGGCTGCACTGCAAAACATGAAAGTGGATTTATGTTCTTCAGACACGTTCTGAAAAAGCTCCATTTCATTCTAGATTCGTGTGAGCAAAGGCCAAGCCTGCTGGGGTCACTGCCTCCAAGTGACCAGCCATGACCCAGCGCGCACTAACCTTGTGCCTGTGCCTCTCCACCGCCTCCACCTCCTCCGCCTCCTCCTCCACCTCCTCCACCTCCGTTACCTCCTCCACCTCCTCCACTACCTTCACCACCTCCTCCACCTGGCTCCACTGGCTGCAAATGACACACCTTTCTTGGCTTGTCTCCCGAGCTGCTGTGTTTTCCCCCTTTTTCCATTCTCTCTGAACAACATATTCATCAGATTAATAGGACTGTGCTTTGGGGAGGAAGAGCGCCTCTGTCAATCTCGACTAAAAACACTGTAATAGAAAATGAAAGGAGCCTCGGGGTGAACTAAAGCCTGATAAATCCCATTTCAATTTCAAAAAAGAAGGCCGGTTTTGCATTTCTCCTCTACAGTCCGGCAATAACACCTACAGTGAGAATCTAATGGAGAAAAAAAAAACATTAACTTGCAATGATTTTTCGTCACTAACCACCTAGTGCACATACAAACACAGAGTGAATGGGTCATTACATTAACTGTGTGCTAATATGTCTCCCACAGCTCGGTGGTAAGCGCCTGGCTGGGGGCTACTGGTGCAGAGTGGGACTTGTAATGGTCCTCTGTATTACTGCTTAATTGCCATGTCCTCTCCCCACTGGATTTAGAGCTGTGTTTTACTTTCATTGTGGACCTTTAAGATGGCTACAGCATGGGCAGAGTTGTAGGTTTACTCTGGTGGAATTACTGGAGGTAATAATAATGGGGTGCATATGCTTTCAATACCTGTTACTAATAGACAAGAGTGTAGTGCCATCTGCTGGTAAAATCACAACAAATCAAGTCAAGCTTAAAGTAAGACTACCGGTCAAACTGGGACCTAATGGTGAAATATAATATGTAGCCTTTGCTTTGACAACTGAGCTTAGGTTGCCATCGTTTTAACCTGCACAGAAGTTTAGGTAGAGGTAATTCAGATCAGAGAGAGCCCAAAACCAACTGGATAACCCAAATGAGACACTCATGTGAAGCTCATACAACAACAAAAAACAAATGATACCTCAACAACGTGGCCATCAAATTATCAACAAAATCCATATTTGATTTGGACATGTCTACCTCGGATCTAGAGACACAGATCACACACAGGTCATGTTTATGAAATTGAATTCTATCAAAATCTCACATAGGCCCTTTAACCTGGCCAGTAAAGGTAAGAGTGGATCTACTGGCATCTAGTGGTTAAAAAGGGGATGACAAGGTTTTTACAGCAGACCTTAAAATTCCAGTGAAGTGCATATTTTCATTTAATTCAACCTAAAAGGAGCACAACGATATTAGTGAATTTGTAAAAGAAATACTTTTTGCAAGATTTTCATTTTTTGTGCCTTACCGTTGATTTTTACAACGCCCATGTACACAACGCGAAAAAAACCCCAAAAAACCTAATAATAATACTACTAATAATAAGCAACATGTTTTCTTTTTGATCAATGATGAACAGTTTAGATAGAGCTCACAGTTGTATATTACCTTTCAAATCGTTGCTTGTAAATGGAAACTTTGTCAGATCGTAAAATATGGATTCCACTGATTCAGTCAACAGCAGCAACGTGCAGGGTTTGTCACGTGATCAAGCGACGCAATAATCTAAAAATCTTGGTTGAATTAAAAAAAAAAAAAAAAAAGAATATTTACAACTTATAGCTTATTTATACTTTTGTCATGCAGAATTGTTATCATCCATAATTTCTAAAAGAAACAATGGAATCTAATATTACTAATATCACTATAGCAAGCCAATATTAGGTAGGTAAATTCTTTGAGAGAAGCTTATGTTGTTGCTTCTAATTGGGTTAGGGTTGCACACATAAGACACCACAATTTCATCATGTATTACTTTTTACATTCACACAGTAAACTGAAGTTTCTGTAGGAAATATTATTTATTTATTTATTTATTCAAGACAAACTGATAAATGAGACAAAACAAGTGTGGAGAAGATAATGACACCTACCAAAAAAGATAAAAGAAACATTCAATTACAATTAAGTGATTTCATTGGGATATAATAAGTCGTGAGGCACTCATATTGGACAGGCAGTTTATTTACAAAGAGCAGACCCTTACATAAAACATAAAAATACCATTGGGACAGGCTTATCTATCATGTTTCAGTCAAAGCACCGTTTTGTCCATCTCTACTTGCTCCAAGCTCTGGGCGGTAAAAAGTACTGAAAAAAACATCCAATCACCAAAGGTCCTCAGTAATTTACATTATAAAAATATCACCATGGTGATCCACAGGTTTACATATTTGACAGCGAAGACATTATTTACAGTAAATTGCACAAATAAAGAAAATTCAAAGAAATGTTTTGGAAAAAAAACAGGAGGATGAAAAAGTGCAGTGAGGGTTCCAAAGGCAAAGCTTGAGCAGTTCTTCTTTTGTATGCTCTCAGTTTACTCACTTATTTTATTCAACCCTGCAAAACACATGTTAGAAATAAATAATAGCCAGAAATTGTAGGTGTAATCAAAGAATAATATTCTTTTTTTTTCCCTAAATATTGTTTTTTAAATTTAAAAAACAATCTGGGTCTTGAAGGTTACAGTCTTCCCCCATATTTTACTGAAAAAGAGTAAGATGGCTATAGCCAGTCTATTCCAGACTTTTTCTAACATAAGGTGAAAGACAGATTTAATAGAAACTGGAGTGGCCCAAAATAACATATATCTGACACATGTAGAGGACATGACCTTGCTGACAGTGATTGAATGATGCTGTCAGCTTCACATGAAGGTCTTACCTCATAGGCCCTCTAAAGTCATCTGATTTAGTATCTAGATCGGGTCTGCCAGCGCTGGAAGGACAAGAAGAGACCAAAGAGGATGTTCAGTTTACAACGGAGAATAACATTTTATTTATTATGTAAAATAATTAAAAATGTAAAAAAAAAAAACCCCAAAAAAACATGATAACACCGGCATAAACCTTTATATTAGAACATTAACTTTCCTGATTTGGTCATGACATGCAGATGAGAGATGAATGAATGTCGCCCTCTGGTGGTGACATGAAAGTACGACGACAGCCAGATGAGATGGAATCAGGACAAGACGCTGGTGTTGTGAGAGTCCACGTCCTGCAAGTTCATTATATCCGTACTTACTCCACTGTCATATATGGGGTTTTCAAATGCCGACTCCTCTGTCATGTTGTCATATGGAGGCGATGATGATGATGATGGCATTCGAATGGTCTTTCCTTGGAGCCTGAGAAAAAGGAGTACATAATTTAAGGCTCATTTCACAGCTAATGAAATGGATAGAGATTTTTACTTACTTTACAAAGTAGACATAAATCGCTAGCACAGCCACTAGGATGACTGCAGTGGGAATGAAAACAATCAGAGCTATGTTGGTCCCCTCTAGCTCATAATCTACTTTGGAAACTGTAATGGAAAAAAACAATTAAGCAATTTATCTTATCTTTATCGAATCGCACCATATAAGCAAAATTGTCACTGTAAAATTAACTCACCATCTAATCTTCGTTCATCAATGTACTGCTGTGTTAAAGCTTCAAAATAGGAAAGTAATTTAGAAAGCAATAAGCATACTTCAATTATGATGGTGCTTTATAGAAGTAATAGCCAACCTTTGCAGGCAGGGGGCGTGCTGTTCCATTGTGAAGGATGCCCAGGGATACAGTAGATGGTGGCATGGCCCTGCATCTCATAGCCTGAGTGGCAGGAGAAGGTGAGGGTCTCTCCTGCCTGATAGAAGGCCTTCTCCAAGCTCTGCACACTGGTGGAGGGGGCACCAGGGTTCCTACATGGCTCATATTTCTCAGCTATCAAACACAAAGAGGATGGATGTAACTAGTTTATTTAATTCATACTGTAAGCAATAAGAGAGAGAGAGCAAGATACTTTATTGATCCCCAGGGAATAACAAGAATGCTGGTTAGCTTCCGCCATCTATACACAATAATAAATACTATAACTTTCCAATTGTTGCTTGAACTATTCCTGGGTTTCAGCATGCTACATATTACATTTTGAGGACTTTTTTCCTTTTAAAATATATTTTGTTTTAAATTGTTAATCGCTATGGTAACAGCTGACTTTTCTGGGGGAGAATCTGGCACCTGCTCTTCTCCATAGAAATGTTACTACTTTGTGTTCTACAGTATGGCATTAGACACATCAATCTTGTAGTTATTCAGTTACATGTAGATTTATTGGTAAAAATGATGCATTCTCACCGTGAGCGGTCTCATTACTGATCTGACCTGTAACTTGGCCTGGTGTTGTAATGGTTCTTTTTCCCATTGAGACAGACAGGTCTAATGCCATACTGTCAAATATTCCACTCAAAGCAATAACATATCCATAGGCAAAAACAGGTGGACCCAAAGTTGCATAGCACACATTAAGTTAAAATGATTACAAAACTACCAATCAAATGCAATGCAAACTGCAATTGAAAATGACGTTTAATTTGGAGGTTTAACATTATAAATGGTGACATTTGGTGCACTGTATTTCCCTGCTAAAGTGATGTTTTCAGCTAAGACCCCACTGTTATGTATAAGACTCTAAATTACAATGCCATTTATTACCAGGAGCTCATCATTGGTGTGTGCACACAATTAGTGATCGTTAATGAAGTGTTTTACAATAGAGTCATTAGGGAAAAATCATTAAGGAGAAAACTTCATAATGATGAAAGTAAAACGTTTTAGTATCCTGGTTGTAGCAGAGACCAGTCTCTGTAAACATTTAATTAAAATAAAATCCAGAATTTATTTTAGATTGTAGACTAGATGCTAATTTGGATACATTTATGGCATACTTCAATACTTAATTTTGAAGACATTTCACACTTTCATATTAATATATATATAATATACATACTATAATATGAGGATTCTGCAGGGCACATTTTCCAAAAACAACACCGATTTAAGCAATAATTCAAATCAGAGTCAAAAATCTGAGGTCACAGTTTGTGGTTCATTTCTATGGCAACCACATAATATGATAATGAGGCCGAGTAAATTTGGCATTAGAACAACACAAAGACAACTTTGTCCTGAAAGCAGTGAACAGCATAGTGCATTCGTCCTGACATTTTCATTTCTCCTTTGAAGAATATTTGAAAACAAAATGTTTCCTGCTCCTGCACAGCCAGTGTATGACATCCAGTTTGGACCATTCACTGTCCACACACGACACTGTCTCCTTTGGGACCACAGTCCCTTTCTGCAGCAGAGACTACACAGAAAAGAGGGACTAAACATCACTTCAGCAGTGACCCTGAGTGTGGTCTACCGGCCAGACACGATCCTGTTCAGATGCAGTAAAGGTCAGGTAGTTTGTGACATGCAGTACAAAGAAATCAAGAACATGTTCAAAAGCAAGCAATAACTCATGCTCAGAACCTGCAGAATTCACTCAATGAGCTACAGAGGCTGCACTAGCTCAATGACTGGCTGCAGGTGCTGTGGTTTACGTAGTGATATTTATAACTTATAACTTTATTTAACTTTATAATTATATCTATATGTATGTGAATAAAGTTGACTTACGAACACATTTGGGAAGCCTTTCACTCCACTTGGGCTTGGCTGAATCTCTGTTGTAGCAGGTGAGGAGGCCATTCCCAGAGATGATGTAGCCTTTATTACAGAAGAACTGTACTGTGGAGCCCACTGCAAACCGGCTTCCTGTGATCACCTTACGACTGTGCTCCACATTCCCCGGGTCTTGGCATGTCATCACTGAACACAACACATGGAGGTATATCCATAAGGAAATATAACAAAAGAAACTGAAGAGTGGCATAGAGTGATTCTTAATAATACAACTTTAGAAATGTCTTTGTTCTTCAAAGACTGAAACAGGTTTCATTAAACTAGCTCCAGACTAGATCTAACCAAGGAGCTTTCCAGGCATAGTAATAATCAAAGTAACTTGTACTTTATTGTAGGAACACTTGACCTCTTCATTCGACCTATCGTTCAGTGTTACTGGGTTAACCTCACTGCTGCAGTGGGACTACTTGAGCATATTTTGCATATTTAGAGAAACAAACATCATAATAGTGGAATTTAACCTGTAATTTTGTTGTCATGAGGTTTAGCATTTTGATGAGAGATCTAATCCAGACCTTACTGTTACTGGAAGTAGAACTAAACATTTGCTAACTTGTCTCAACAAAAGCAGGATAAAAACATGAATACAGGTAAATAAAACCAACACATGAGGTACAAAATAAGCCCACAAACCACATTTTGAGAACCATTGTCATATATAATCCTGACATTCCTTTGACTCCTCTCACCTTCCTCACACTTTGGCACGTCCCCGCTCCACGTGAGATCCCATTGGCACATGAGTATCTCAGAGCCCACCAGCTCGTATCCGGGGTAACACTGGTAGGTGACGACGGTCCCGTGAATAAGGTCAGGGTGTGATGTGCTCTTCCAGCCATTGCTAATTTCCGGAAGCTCAGAGCAAGTGTCATTCCTGGCCACTTCTGTAAGTCACCACAAAAACAAGACAGTTAGTGCTCAGAAATGTTATTATTACCAGCCATTTTCTTGACTTCGACGGGCGTAATGCTAGCGGGGAGTATAAATATAGGTCTATTTTTTGCAAGGGAGGAAAAGCAGCATGTGGCTTGGCACCAGTCAATCTGTGCTTCAATAACCACTGCAGACATTGCCAACTGCACAAAGCTTTGGACAAAACCAGCTGATGTTGAAGTGCACCCTATTATTGCATGGCTTTGTTTGTCTAATCCGGTGCACCTGGCATTGGCCCGATCCCAGGGAGGAAGACACAGACAGACAGTGGTACAGTCAGAGAAAAGAGGCTCAACAGGATGCCTCTAAATAGACCAATTTTATCCAATGTGTAGTCCATTATTTATTATAACGAGTCTATTAATGCTGAGTTAACTGTGTACATGTACATGGCCCACATTATGTAAGAGCAAATGTGAAAATTATTATGTAACTTTTATGGTCGGGGGTCCGCAGGGTCTGTTTGTCTCCAAAGAGATGTCATTGCTTTGTCTGGAATGCTCCACAGTATGGCATTAAATTTAACTTAACATGAAGACAAGCAGGTGATGACACAGAGCTAAGTTACATGTCAGGTCAGTGGTGAGGAGGCCCCTACTGACAGTAAGAATACATGTTTTTCACTATATTTTTGACATTTAATTGATTAAAAATAGATTATTATATGCAATACTATGAGATATTCCAGCCATGTAACAATGGGGACAAACAGGTGGCAAACCCCTCACCAGAAAAGTTACATAGTACAGCTTTATAGTTCTCCATTATCCCTGAACAGTAGAACCAGGTTACGAACTTGAAGCTGAGGAAATGCGACTAAACAACAAAAGTATAACCAAGTACCAAACTATGAAAAAAGACCAGGCAAAAAAGACCAACTTATTTCCATGCACAATTTACTTATGAGTACATACCAAAGAAGTGGACCACAAATCCATTGTTGTAACCGTAGATATTTGTGGCTGGGTCTGACTGAAACTGAATAGTCACATCCGCCATAGAAGTGTAGAGCTTGAAGTGCGGCCGGGTCCCACTGTACTGTCCCAGGATGTTAGCAGTCAGGTCATCGCCGTCGTAGAAGGTCAAAAGGTCATTCTTACCAAGATGAAGTCTAAAGCGTAAACAAAAACAAGGGAATTAACATCAGCTTATGATTAAAAATGACCTGAGTGTAGGTTGAATGTATTACATGTAAGCGGACAAGCACTGCGTTATTCAGCTGACAGCAGCAGAATACAGATAACGCCACGTCAACACTTCTGGCTACATTTGTATGCAGTTTATATTGGATGGATCTGATGTGAAAAATAAACACTAAATAATTCAAGATGTATGCTTTTTCACCACCACATTGATTTCATAAATATGTAAGAAAAACATTATTCATTCCGATAGAATACCACTTTTTAAATTACCTCAAGGTTACAAACATACACAAGCCGGGAAGTGGTAAATTGCCACATTGTTAAATTGAATATATTTCCGTGGAGACACAGTTAGACAGGATGTCCACAGCGCATGATTAACTTAAAGAATGCATTAACCTTTTCCATTTAGAAATTCATATGTTCTTGCCCTCTTTATGCAGTGTTAGTATAGCTTGACATTTATTCGTGCACTAGCCAAGGAAAATGGTGAGAGAAAAGTAGTATTGCTCTGCTGCATTGGGAGAAAGTACCCCCTTAAATGTCAAGATGGCCATTATAATGAGATATGTTCATATTTAGCAGCATCATTTCAGGTGGGGTCTCATAATTTACATGCATGCCATTTGAAGAGGCTCCAGAGGTTGCATTTGTGCTAAATCATCATGGGGTTTGATGTTATAAAAAGACACAATATGGAATCTTTGCTTAGCTACGGTGAAAATAATGTCAGTTTAAATTGATTTAAACCGAAACATGAAAGAACTCTACCAGAACTCTGCCCACTAATTGCCTTTTTGCCCCTGTATGCGGAAATTTAAAATATAAATAGCAATCATAATATGTATACAGAACACAGAAAACATTTCAAAAATTTTGGAGCAGTAAAATCTACAGCCATTTACTACAATCTGCTTATTATTGGTGTAGCGTCAGAGTATTTACATTTGAAACCAGGAGATTCACACTTAAAAACTTTAGCGAGGCAAAAAAGGTATATGATGTAACTTTTTTGGTGGAGGGTCTGCCACTTGTTTCTCTGTTGCGATGCTATTGCTTTGCCAGGAATTTTCCACAGTACCAATATTAATGGAACAAACACGGTTTAATCATCCCACAATGGGTAAATTTCAGTAGCCAGGTTGGCGCCACCTAGTGCCTCCACTCAATTTCATTTCTCTGCAGCGACTAGGTCAGGAATCAGAATACACTAGACGGTTTGCAAGAAGCCCGGCAGTGCAAGTTCAGGCACCAGCCAATCAGCGAAGACCCATACGTTCTGTGCTGGCAACGATTCTCAAGATCGAGGATTTGAAGCCGGAGCAAAGAGAATGTTCAGTGAATTTCATCAAAGGGAAAGACGTTATTGCCCTTCTTCCTACGGAATTTGGGAAAAGCTTAATCACGACCAAATAGCAGTGATTGATTAAATGAAAAAAAGTACCTCACTTCCAGAGAACGAATTCTAACACTGTGAGGTGAGACGGTTTCTACAAAGTGAAACCGGCTGATGAATCAGGGTAAAATATCAGTGTACAAGAAGAATAATACAATTAGAAAGAATAACACCTCCAGGCCAAGTTACAAGTCAGATCTGTGGAGTTGCATGCTTTCTTCAATAAAAACACCTTTGTTAGAATTAATGCACGACATATACATTGAGTGCCATATTCTGGTACATTCTAGTGGACTCTTCACCAGAAAAGTGACATAATGCAGCTTTAACAGCGTGAGAAACAGCCTTACTCCTTTATGGAAGTTTCTGTGGTCCAACAGCTTGTTTTGGCTTTGCCCGTGTAATGTGTTTTTATTTTTAGTGACAATATGACATAAGCATAGTTAATAGCACTCAGTTGACAACACAAAAACACACTGCCATTCTTGTTTTGATTAATGGCTCCAATTATTTGAATCTTCCTTTCAGCGGTGAGACGTGTTTGAAGGCGAGACCCGTGAGCCTCTTCCTTTCCATATTCAGTGTTTTACTTTGAAGTCTGTTCTGTACAACTGAAAGTGCTTGTGACAAAATGAATCACACGGCGTTCCAGCAGACAAAGCAGCGGGAGGGGGAGCCGTCTTAAAAGTGACACGACTTGATGATGATAGAGTGAAACAAAATGACCTATGCTCAATTTGTTATTCATAACTCCTTACACAGCCTCTCACCTCCATCTATCTGAGGGCTCTGAGTAAAAACAAGCTGCAGTTAAGATGAATGGATGGCCAAATTTTCTCTCAAAGGTAAATTAAACAGCAACTAGCTTTTGTTTTGTCTCACAGTTTCATCAAACCAAAATTAAAGGGCCCATATTATGCTATTTTCTGATCTATTATTATGTTGTTTCCTCATCACAAACATACATGGAGTTGTGTTTTGTTTAATTCACACAACATTTGACACACAACTCCAGCATATTTAGGCAGAGTTCTTCTCTCAAATTGAAAACACTAGGTTCCATCTTGTGATGTCATGTGGATTTTCGATGAAGTAACAGCATTGTTAATTATCACGGTTTAAAGCTAAGAGTTAATATTGTGTAATATAAGACCTTTAAATAACAACTTCTTGCATTAATTAATATAGACCAGCAATAATCAATACAGATGGGGGTAAAATGAATATTGTTAAAATGCAGATTTTTATTATTATATTATAGCTCTCGTCCCACTTATTTGGAGAATGTTTCACTTCACTGATGCCACATGCATTATTAACAAAAACATGAGATTTACAGAGAAACATGCTGATATATATTTTTTCAGGGTGTACTGACATTCATAGTTGTCTATTGCTATTCCAATCTCTTAAAACTAACAATCATCTAGTAGTTTTTATCTATGACCTTAATTTTCCTGAGTCCATTCCTGTGATGGTCACCCTTAACACAGATATCATTTGAAATTACACTATTACACTATTTCACAGTCAAGTAAGAATTTGTACTGAACCCCCCTTATGTTCATATTGTTAAAGCCTGATCTGACTGAAAAATGGGGGATTTGGTTGTTGGCTCATAATGGTGGAGGAAATGGTTCCAGAGCTAAATTTCAGCCTCTTGAAGAACACAAATAGCAGATGCCAGCTGAATGAATGGCAGTGAAATGAGGTAGCGACCAGGGAGCGGCCCCCTCGTGTTAGCTGGACGGCTATAGGGATCATTTAGACCTCCACATTCGGCCCACAATCAGTAGCTGTACATGAGGCAGGCACAATGGTAATAATGGTTTGGACCAAATCACAAGAATAGAATCCTGTGGACCAGAATATTTGTGAGTCACTGATGAAAGAAATGTTCAAGGGAAGTTTTGAAAAGCCTCATATAAAATATAATTTTATTGCTGTGTAATATGCAGCTTTTTATTCACCACAGCTTAACCATATTTGACCTTGTTGGTTCCTATAGGGCTTTTATAACTATATTCAAAGGGTTCTTGCTGAGAGTCTGACACTATGTCTACTCAAAGCTCATAGATGATTTGCAATGGGTGAGTCATAATAAAGTTTTAATCTTTAGCTAAATTAAAACCAAAAAGGGTTTAATTGAAGTATGAAAATAATGAGAGCTATAAAGTACATGTGCCTATATACATTGTTAAATCTTTTAAATGAATGAACAATTCTTTCAAGAGCATCATTGGTATGCTGAAATTATCCAAAAAAAAGACAAAAAAAACACAGTCACAGCTAAGGTGATGTGAAAATTTCATGTATGCATTGGCCTGCATTTCTTCACTGGTTTGAGTCCAAATCTAAACCTAGTGACAACACAGACATGTGCCAGCTCTGCAGCGCCTCAGTGTGGACTTAACGCCTGCTCCAGTGCCACTCCACAGGCCACTCAGCTGCTCCCACTGCACCAATATGGGCCCAACTTCAACCAACTGTTACCCCACCTGCCAGAGCCAAGGACTCAGGCAGACAACCAGCCTGTATCTGACAAATCTGTGCAACCTTTACAAAAGATTTGAACTACTAATGCAACACTACCAGTACTATTGCAACAAAATGATTCTAAGGCTATTGCTATTATATGTAATTCACATGTAGTACAAAATGACACACACTGAGGTTCAGTAGGTGATTAGGGCTGCAACCAATGATTTTTTTAGTAGTCCACCAAGTAAACTAAGTAAAAGGTTAAATATACAGACTGAGAGCTTCAAGATAATAACCCCAATAATTAAACCATGAATTACTGAATTATTATTAAATCGTATTTTGAAAAATTTGTAAATTGAAAAAATCTGAAACTGACATTTTTATTTAATGATGCATCTGTCTTTTTAAAGTCTTTTAGAGTACATACAGTCCACAGACCAATTAAAATACAAACATCCAAAAAATCCTTTTGAACCCTGAAAATAATTAAAATGTAACTGCAATCATTTTAATAGTCCACTAGTAATTATTACTATTCTGATTCATTGCTGGAGTTCTACTTGTGATGACTTTCTGTTAAATGATTGTGAGAGCTTATTTTTTAATCCCTGTTCTTGTTAACCTTGATCACTATAGACATATACTGCACAGAAGCTTCCAGAAGAGCATACCTTTTGTCAATTCTCCCAGTTTCAGAGTGCACTAAGTTTCAAGGTCTGTTTGAAACTGTACTTTCTGCTCGCATGTCTTCAGCATACCAATAGTGCCAGCTCACTCCCGCTGATGTGGTGGCTGACAGCTGCGTTATGTACAAGCCTCAAGGCATTTTGTCACCTTAACTGACCTGTCAAGTCAAATCTGGAGAAAAACAGTAAAATCCCATTAACTCTTACACAATGAAAGTTCCTGTGCCTGTCAGCAGCACATATGCCATTTTTTCATACTCATATTTGACATTTGTATTGTTACACTGATTGAAGAATTGTTTTCATCGAGAAAGCATTCCATCTTCCATTGACACCTGAATAAAAGTGCATGCAGTACTCAGAGTCTCCAGTTGGGGGCTCTATACAACCAGTCTGATCGTAGTAAAAGTTCATAACTGACTAACAGTTTTACCCCAAGGTTCCTTGCTGTGTGGAATTGTGGAAAAGCACTTAGTGGATGACTAAATGCGGTGTGAATTTATAACTTAGCCTGAGAACATGGGTTTGGTGCAGCTTTGTCTATTGCTCAAACCAAGCAAGAAAATCAAAGTATTCTCTATGCGGAGTCATTAGTGTTCTGGCAAAAGACAGTTTTGTGTTTAATCTGCAGCAAATATTATATGTGCAAGGTTTTATCACATTATAATATAGGTATACGAATCCCACATACTGACTGAATGAGAGGGCAAATTTCTCAGGCACATCGACATTGACGACTTTGTATCCTGACAACATTGAAGATGTTGCAATCTCCCCTTACAAAAAAAATAAATAAATAAATAAAAATAAATAATAATAAAAATAAAAATAATAAAATATTAATATTAATATATTAATTATATTAATAATTATTATATTTATATTAATATTAACATAACTGGGCAGAGAGCTCAGGGTGACCTAAACTGCAGGGATTATACACCTACTCATAGAACCGAAAATGAAAAGTTGATCACTGGCATGTTGAGTTGGACAGGTTGTAGAGGGAGGGAAGGAAACCATTTTTGTAACCATTTTTGATATCCACAAACACTGAACCTTATTATTTGTTATGGATTGGATTCAAAAACATGTCATATTAATCTTGTGGCTTCAAGTTCTTTAATTTGTACTGCCAGAGAAGACATTAAACTTTATGCCTGTTTGTGTTTCATGTGGACAGGCCCAGTAATTACAGAGATATTAACTATGAAGATTACAACAACTACTACTCTTGCAATGTGACAGTTAAACATAAAATTCCAGCATAGGATTCTGAATTCTTACAGCTCAAACTATTTACTGCTTAAACTACTCATGGGTTTCATCTTCCTGTTCTATGCAATATTTAGAGAACTTTTGTCCTTTCAAAAGATATTGTCAGAAATTGTTAATCAACACGGCAATGATCATTCTAAAACCGAGGGATAGGCATTCATTAATGTTGACATGTGAGGTCAGTGCAACCTATTGATAAAGAGCATTTAGAGAAGTACTGCTCTTAACTCCCCTTGAGGACATGTACCTGGTGTAGTGTTGTCTACAGGTGGGACTATCTGCCGTAACCTCTTGTCTCTTGCTCTTGCTCCATGCTAATTAGCTGAGAGCCGGCCCTCCTGTTTGGCCTAAATTAATTAATCAACCCTCATTATGCACACTGCTCTTGTGTAATTGCCAACGCGGGCACAGCGATGAATGATAATGCCCCAAACATTCTCATTACTGTATGGAAGAGTGTGCCCACCCTAATAATGAGACACACAAGCTTTTGTCACTTCAACATGCCATGCACACGCACACATAAACATAAATGATATGTGGACCAAGCCTCCTGGAATGCTATTCTAATGATGAGAACAGCAGACAGGAGGGCAATAGAGGGATCTGTGGAAATCAAACAAGCTGTGGTGTACGCCGCCATGAAAGCCATGCATGACCAAGCTTGAGATAAACCAGAACTGCCCACAGCGCCATTAATTCACAGCACGAGACCAACCCTGAGCTGCAGTGGCTTGGATTAAAACTAACTCACAGAAGCATATTAGGGAATGGGTTAGGGCTACAGACTGGTAAAAAAAAACTATGACAATTCTTGGTTAGTTATGTGTGAATAGCAATTTTGTTCAGTTACTATACATAAGCACACAACTCTGGTTTGTTTGAAATAAAGAATGTCTAAAGTTGAGAACAGAACCAGGATTTTGCATACAGCTTCTTAACAGTCAAAGTCTATTTTTATTCTAACCCCCTCTTTATCACAGTTTATATTCTTCTGTTATTATTCATTGTTTTATGTTGCACCATATCACCTAAGCACATACCTAGTTTCTGAAGTATGTAAAAAGAATCACAATCAGAAAATAAAGGCTTGGGCAATGTTGCAAGGTTAGTGTTTTTCTATATTTCCTATTACAAGTTTACCTGATCCTAATCATATCAAATCAACACACAGAGATACAAATACTAATACAGGCGTCATACTGACCTTATAGGTTTACAGTTGAGATACAGCATTTAACAGGGTTTCTTTGAGTCTTAAATTTTCATTGGATAATATATTTCCCTGAATGCAATGTGCTGTTCATTGCCATTTAATTCCTTGCATTGCAGATTCACTGATGCATTATTCATGTATTATGTGGTCCTAAAATTGACAAAAAATCCAACTAAAGGTTTTTTTTTTGTTTTTTTTACAACAGTTTAAATAAAATGAACCTCCCCTTTTAGGCATGGTTCAATGAAATATATATGTCCACTAACACTAACTCGCTGAGAGGTGAGATGGGTCACTCAGTCTTTTCCTGTAATACATGTTTCCTCCTCTGCCTCTTCCCTTTGATATGCAACTCATATTTGACTGATTGTTCATATCTGCGAGTCTATAATCCTGGGAGATAAGAGCTGGGGCATTGTGTGCACTGTAGCAATGGAGTGGGCTGAGCCAAAACCAAGTGCTCTCTGGCCTCTTTGTTCCAACAGAGAAAGCCATTAAGAAAATCATGCACATTTGAGCTCAAAAAGATATTTTAAAAGTCTGTTTTGGTATTCACATTGCTGCTGGGGCTGATAAATCTAGCAACGCTCCTGTCTGTTTGCTCCATATGGATCGACTTAATTTAGTTATTCAACCCAGATAATGACTTTAAACCCTGCTCTCATTAAGGCTAATTTAGGTTATTGCCATTTTTAATCAGCAGCCTCAGTCTAACTCTACATTGTCCCCTTAAACCTAAGCGCTCTTTTTATGCTCTTACTCATGCTGTCCTATTGTTATAATAAATATTAACTGTTAATTCATTTAGAGTACCAGATGCCTAATAAAAGTATTTGGTTTAATTGGCACTCATTTAAAGTGCTCTACTGAAGTACAGCATAGACCCAATTGAATGTTCTTATCTTTGAAGGATAAGAACAATGTGTAAAGATTGTAATAATTTGAAAAGGTTATTAAATGGTTTGTGTCAAAAGAAAATGACAAATGGAGCTACTTTAGGGAGCTACTTTAAAATTGTTTTTTATATATTTGGGCATTTGTGTACCATCTACGTATTGTCATGTTGTTACGTTTTTGCCAACTGTTTTATATATAGCTGCCATTAAACTTAATTGCCTTTAATAAAATAATGAAATATTACTGTGTACGCTGATATGTTCCTTATGATTTCTTCTGAATAAAACATGTTATGGAGCTATGCCAACATTTGCATCATATGTGTTTACATTTCATACAGCCATTCTGTATAGCAATTTTTATAATTACAAGTTTTAGGAAGAATAGGAAAACACTGCACTATTTTAACCTGATTTTACCTTTAAACAACGTAATGAATGACCACTGTATGCAATAGCTAACAATCGTCTCTGTCAGACTTCAGTATTCTGTGTCTATTTTTTCTGTGACCCTAGGCTGTATTCCCGCTGGTTTAATTTTAACCTTTCACAGCCCATGCACTGCTGAGTGCTTGAGGCACTAAAACAAATTACTTATGCTGTATTTTGCTTGCTATATAGACTGTATGTTCATATAAATAATAGTGTGACTCAATTATATGCAGCAAAAGTACGGTTCTGAATGTGCATAACTGAGTTTGTTATTTTAGTTGAGAAAAACAAGGTCTGTAGTGGTTTGAACAGATAGTGCTCCATAGTGGCCTCAGCTGCCTCCTTAACAGCTGTGACTGTGTATGTGTCTGTGTGATGATGGATGGGGCGTTCAAGGAAGATTGATGGCTGAAGAGGAGACTGGGCGCATATACATGCTCTATGACATCTGCATGTGTGCGTCGTCTGTGTGTTGAATTACAGTTGGCCAAGGCAGAACAAGTGGCTGAGAGTAGTTCTCTGCCAGAGCGTATTCATTTCAAAGCCAACTCCAAGACGCGCACCAGGGAAGTGGGAGCGGGGAGGCTTACTGGCTAATCTGGTCAGAGCGAGCTGGAAGCAACACAGAATTCTTAATGTGGTGGAAATTTTTTAAAAATCTAATTAACAACACAGACGCAATAGGTTGTCCTATGTGAATGTATGGAGGAGTGATGCGTTTAACATGTGAAAGTGGCTCCTGCCCTACACCTGGTGCACTCTTACACTTGGATGTCGAGCATGATCCTCTTGTCCTCTTCCACGTGGATGCCCCAGATGCAGTCCTGCCCCTTGTCATAGGCCTCGGGCCAATTAGGAGACAGCACAACACCAGCCGAGTCTGTGATCTCCCCACTGCACACAGCTGCAACACAAATAACACAGCGTGAGCCTTTCACAGCCATTATCTGGACAGCAGTAGTCTTTAGAACCAAAAATAACATCCTTATAGCATTTCTCCTCTTTTCTCCGCAAACTAAAGATGTGCTGCACTGCACAAGGCTACACATTTAAAGCTTTAAACAACTTCTCCTCCATCAATTATTTCTTCCATTCTCCACTGTTAATGTCTGTGGAAAGCTACCTTATGCTTTCTAGTTCAAATAACTGTATGCTTTGCAGAAGTGCTGTAACCTAGACACTTTTACTCAGCAATGTAGTATACATTTTTATGTTAGATTATCTTTATGAATAAATATATTGTGAAATAGTATAGTAGCATATTGCGGTTAATTTTAATGTATATTTTTTGTCTTGACTATATCAGGATTGCAGTTTGTATGTAGTTCACAGTAATGTACTCAAAATGTATCTTTATTTTTAGGATTTTAAGATATAAAATATTTATATGAATGTACAGTACATTTACAGTAAAGTACAAGACATTTTAAATGCAGCATTTAAACTTCTAATACAACTTCGTGTGCAGGCTCCTTGATAAGAACCTTGTAAAACTGCATGCTGGCACTAAACCTCTGAGCGACCATGACCCAGAGGGCACAGAAATTTAATTTCCTCATTTCTATTTTTACTAGAAAGCTTTTCAATTTTCGCTATGTGTCACGATGACCATGCAGCCAACAAAGCCTGGTGGAGAGGTCAGGGTGTTATGTTTGGGAGATGTGAAGTGAAGAAGGAAAGGCCACTAAGGGTAGACAGCTATTTAGTGCAGTGCTTAGTGTGCGCAATATACTGAGTCCGTCTGCAGGCAACCTTTGTACGCTTTAATCTTGGGCACTTCTGAAATCTGCCCTGCCAGCACACACTCTCTATTGTTAATAATAAGACGGAATTTATCAAGGATCAGAGGAAGGCTGCTTAAAAGATATACTTAACTGGAAGTTTAGCTTTAATATTTGAGTGAAAAGGATTCACTAATTCCAGAAATAAACCAGATGAAAGCCAAGGTCCTTCAGATGCTTAAGGAGAGGTAGGTTTTGGCACAGAGGCTAAAGAGGATGAAAAGATGCACAAGATGTTGACTGACCTCGGCATGCTGGCTCAGTCTCGTTCCACTGGGGGTTTTCTGGGTCCACACACTCAATCACAACAGAGCCTTGCTCAAGGGTGTAGCCAGGGTCACAGGAGAATTCAACTACAGCCCCCACACCATATGAGGAGTCAGAGCTGCTGAAGTTTCCGTACTTTACAAAAGGCTCATAGCACATTCCTTTGGCGAAAGCTGCAGAAATATTAAACACAAAAGTATGACTAACTGTCACTGGGATAGTAAAAAAAAAAAAAAAAAAAAAAAAAAAAAGAGGATACTTTTTTTGCTAGTCCCATGTAAATTCCACCCAAAATGTATACTTCTTCTAAGTAAATATCTACAATAAAATTCTAATAATACATTTTAGACCAGACATACATTCATATCTGATAGCTGCCCCTGTGGAGGTCAGGCTCCCGTCAGTGGTGAACTCCACAAACAGGTAGCGTCCCGTGCTAAGAAGGCCTTCGTTGGGCAAATACTCCACCTCATAGGAGTCATAGATGGGGGGAGAGTCGATGTTGTTGCCGTTTTTAATCAGCAGCCTACAAGATACATTTACATAGACGGACAGATTAAAAGGGAAGTCAGTGAGGGGTAAGACAAAAAGGAAAGACATTACAAGGTTTCATATGGGCTGCTCACTGTTCCATTTGCAAATCTAATAACTTTATGGATCAGTAGCCGCAGAACTCAAATTGTAATGTTATTGCTGTCCTCTGTAGCAATTTGACTTGTTCTGTGTAACACAGCTTTGTTAAAGTCATGTAATGATAAAGAGCTCTTTCAGACTCATCAGACAGTCCCTACAGGTTATGCATATTTATAGCTTTATTCCCCAGACACACTGTTAGTCACAAGGATGACTTAAAACTGGCTAAATATTAGATGAAGACACACAGCACAGGGCTGTTTGATTAGAGCTGTGGGAATACTAGGGCTATATCATTTTAGAGAAATATGATACTGGTATAAGATGAAGATGTGCAATAATTGCTGAAAGTAGAATTACCAGTCCAATGATCACATGCTCTACCTTTGACCAACTGATAAAGGTTATGTTGTATGTGAAGTCTTCACAGACAGGACAGGGGAGTGATAACTGCAGTTATTAATGGCATCACCTAGTCCTACATGTTACCTGTCATCATCCTCTGCCAGAGCCACCTTCTCAAAGTGGACATGCAGCCTGTGGCCCTCGGGTGCCTCCAGGACCCAGTGACATGTCAGGTTGTTGCTGTAGTTGCCAGGGAAACCAGGGGAAACTATGCGACCATAGGTTGCATTCTTTATCATGCCTCCGCAGGACGCTGCACGAGAAGAGAGAGAGAAGTGAAGACAAACCAGTTGGAGGGTATGGGGCTCAAAATGAGAAAAGTAATGGCGCGGAGTGGAGCAGAGGTTTAGAGGAAAGTCCCCAGACTGAACGCAGATTACATCTGTATCCAGTGGACTGTGGCCAGGCTACACTACGTGGCCCTCACCAGCTCTAAGAGTGTGTGACTGTGTGTGATGGACTTGTAAAGAGGAGAGGCCAACACCAGCACGTTCACTATCAGCGGAGAGCAGCTACACAAACACATTGGAACTGCCAGATGAGCCTTTAGCAGCAGGAGAAGCAGAGTAATGTAGCCCACTTCTAATTAAAGCAGTCAGGTCCAATGGTCCTATTGTGCCCTGGCTCCAAAAGAATACAGATGTGTGCTGCTAATCACACACAAACACACTCATTTGGCCACAGAGTGCAAGTAATCAACTCAGCAGGAGAAAACAACACAAAAATCTCTCCTAGACTTACTTTGCATAAATACATTTTTATTATACTGCATAAACTACTTTGGATGGGTGACTTTTGACAGAATTCGATCATGAAACCACATAGCTTTAAAATAGCTGATGTCAGGAGTGTGCCTTTTGGCCTCATAAGTAATTTATAAAGTAAAAATAAGTAACAAAAAATTAACATTTTCACTTAACCCTGAGGTAACAGGAAGGGAAACAATTAAATGTTTAATTAAATCCTAGTCAATTTTATTGTTATAGCTCAGTCTGTAGGTGATTTTTCATTTTTTATCTATATGGTCATGGTAAAGACACTATGAATAGAATAGTTGTCTGCACAAACAATAGGAGGCACAATAGATTACTGTACCTATGCATCGGGGCTCCTTCCCGCTCCAGTAGGGTGTGGTTGCGTTGCGGCATAAAAGCATTTTGGGCCCTTGTAACTTGTATCCAGTCAAACAGCTGAAGAAGGCTTCACCACCAGGATGAAGGTGAGTCACAGAAACCTCTCCACCAGTGGGCTCTTTAGGGAACGCACAGCTCAACACAAACGCTGTAGAAAGAGAAATATTATGTCAGCACACTCTTAAATCAACTAGTGTTGGAATTGAGTGCATAAACCAAGAAAGAGTCCTGATTCAGATCTAGTCAAGCCTATGATAAATGGGAAGAGATACCAGTGAACAGTTCAAATATTGTCCAATCTTCCTTACCAAGATTGGACTATTCCCAAGTGCCGGAAAAGGCTAGACGGGTTATCAGAAAATACAAAAACAAGCTTAAGGTTTTATATAAAGTTGAAGGTTTAATACGTGATCACACAGTGGGCGTGTATGGAGGTAGGAGAAAACGTAAATTTTTGAACAATGGTGTCTTGAATGTAGGTAGAGTAAAGATTACTCGAACATGCATGAATATTCAAAATATTTGAGAGGGTTAAATATGGGGTGAAACATAACATGGTTAAAACTATTAGGTTGATTTTGCATAATATAGTATGTATTATTATCTTTTATATTCTCATCAGACATTAGTTATTCCTATCAGAACAGTGTCATTTATCATAATTTGGCTGGTTACAATTTCCTTTGTTACAGGCAATCGTGGTAATAGATCTTTATCATAGCAGCACAAGGCAGCTCTTTGTGTGCCAGTAGTTAAAAGACAACAATCATAATATGACATTTTAAAGGTTTCCTCTCAAAAAATATTACCAATGATGAGTTCAGAGCACAGATAAACCCAATATAATGCCGCAAACACATATTGTGTTTGAGCCTACTACACAGTTTATTATGTCTTTTTATTAAATATATATATATTTTAAATCGCAATATTCATCTAAAATGACTTCCACATAAAAAAAAATAATGCTGTGCCCAATGCGAGCTGATGCCGTAGTAAATGCCATCAACACAAAGACTTGGCAACTCCTACGGATAGCTACAAATCACGCTACCGAGGAGCAGATTTTTAAATATTTGTATCAATATGACTATCTGACGCTGCCGAATCCTATGTGTATCTCTTATAAAGAAAATAAAATTGTAAAACAAATTAAGTACAGAGCAGTGGGCGTATGCCAGTGGCGGTAAAAGCGGGGGTTGATCGGCAAAACAGAGTCTTGAATATAAGTAATTAAAGATTGCTCAAACATGCATGAATCCCATATCCATACACAACTTCAGAGGGTAAATGAGAAGGAGAAACAACTAAAACATTTTTAAAAGCTCAGAAAAGCAGAAGAGGTCTGCTTTAATACTCTAGCTGTACCCACAACCTGCACCCTATGATTTCAACTCTAATGTAGTTCCAAACGATCCCTCTCTTAATTGATTACAGTGTTGTGCTACATACAGTATGCAAATGTACAATGACATGTTTGCAATGCTGAGGTAATTAACAGGAGTATAAAGCTCTTCTGTGTCTGGTTTGTGTCACCATGACAAATGAAACCTCCGCCGATCACTAGAGCACCGTAATGAGTGTGTAATGTGATAACTGGAAGAGGAACTAGCAGTGAGGGGCTTGTCAAACTGTGCTCATTGCAATGGGGGAAAGATCAATGCTGGTGCGCGTTTATTTCTTTGTGTGTTTTTAAACAAATAGTGTCGGGTGATGCAGAGTTCTCACGGATAATGGATTAGGCTAACCAAGTCTGTAATGGAACCTATTAAACAACCGACTTTCCTGGCTAATAACTGCACTGTTCTACCTCATTAGTGTAGACGCTTTAATGATCAAACTTTTAAAACTTGGAAGAATGTGTGAATAGAACACAGAAGTGCCGTAATTGGGCTATTGTTCGGAAATGCGACGAAAGAATAGAGCCTTTTTCAAAAGCTTTAACTTCAGTGTGAATTAGCATACTCCACATTATGTTTGAGCATTATGGATGTCAGGCCCAGTCCAAATGAGAGCTGATGTAATTACAAAACAACAGAGAAAGGCCACACTGGAAGCCTGCCTTCATAGAATTTATGTTTGCAGCCTTAAAAGCAATTATGATAATAATCAGCCACAGGCCACGTACTGTAAACACCTTAATCTACTTATGCTAATATGGAGAAGGTTATTTGGGTTTGTTTGTGTGGGCGTAGATTTTACTACAAATGATAAATTATAGTAGAAAGTGGGCTATATATATATTTCATGTACTAATTTAGTTAGATCATGTTTATGCTGATAAATAAAGCAATCTGTCATTTATCTAATTCCAAGAAAATAAATCATTCAAACTTCTGCCTTTATGCCACTTTGGAAGAGTAACAGTTTTAACAGTTATTTTATGTATACATATTTTTTAAAGATTAAAATCAGTTACAAATCACAAGTCTTCTGATGAACATGAATCACATTGACCGTTATACTTTGGAGTTGGAGAGATTTTGCATGCAATTGCCCACATAATCCAAAATAAAACCATGGTATATTCTATATTGTTAAATGGCCACATTAGTTTCAAGTGTAGTCACATAAAAGCCAAGACAGAAAAAATATTGTCAACAATATAATCCTGTATGAATTATTAAGTGTCCAGGCACTCAGCAGCTGGCCGTAATAGAAGAATTGCCATGTACTATATATCAATTTTAGATGGAAGGCAGCAGTTTATGTATGTGTTTGCAAACAGCATTAAGGGGGAATTGGATATTAAAAGGGCCATTCTATTAGTCTTTGCACTTGAACCCACAGTACATTCTACTACACACACTCTTTTCCCGGAGAGGCTTGTAAACTGCCCTCACGCAGCATGTTTTAATCTTCAAACTGGAGGTTTTCTGTTACACGGCCACTGCCTCCTTCCATAATGAAACAGTCCCTTCTTTGGTAGTAAATCAGAGCGCCGGGGGGAACAGGTACACTGCCCCTGGGTCGTCCATTCAATTCTTGGTTTATCACTAGCTCCAATGAACCTAGTTATTGCCATTATCATAGCAGCATTTACATCCCTATTGAGCATGCGGCGGGGAAAGCCAGGGGCGAAAATGTGCAGCCAATTCCTGAAGTATTAAATTAGGTGGTGCCTCCATTCCGTTAGATGCGGTGCTGGGCCATAAAGTCTGATTGTTTTGCTATTACAAATAATAGACCAACGGAGGAGGCAGAGGAGATTAGTGGATATCACGGTAGGGCCAGGGCAAACAGACGTGCAGCTTATGTTTTTTAGTTATGGGTCTATTGTCAGGGAGGTGAAAAATCGGTGAGGCAAAGCATGGAAAGACAAGACAATATCAGAGGAAGGGTCTGAGAAAATGGATTGAGAAAACAGATGCCAGTAGGGATGTCAAAATGTTTGGTTAATCAATAATATTAAATTAAAATTAAAATTAAATACATTTTGTCAAATAATCAAAAAATTGAGACGTTTCTCCCCATAATACATACATGCATTCAAACCACACAACTGTACAGCAACTCCCCCTTCTGTTACCGATAACCCTATGTCCTGCCAGTCATGATATCATCTTTTTATCCTCACAACCTCTTGTAGATTGCTGAGATATATTTGTATTACTGTATTTCTATATTTAATGTTTACTTGTAAGTATACATTTATATAAGTATGCCTTGTTTGACACCCATCTCTTAATATTTTTGCTACTTATTTTGAATTTATTATTACCATTTATATGTTTGCTCTTTGCTCTTATAATATATTGTGATATACGAGCTACTGTGTCCAAATAATTTTTCGTGTGGTTCAATAAAGTCAAATAATCATTGATTTTGCAACATCCCTAACCAGCAGAAATAATCTTTTTCAGGGTTAAGTGGTCTTAATAGTGAAACACATTGTCTTCAATAAATTAACAAAGAACATAAAGTGTGTTATAGCTTATTTTGGAATACGGTATTGAATATGGTTCAATATTTATATTTCTTAAAATTAGTCATTGTTCTATGCCTTGTTTACATTCGGTAACAGGTTGTGTTGTTGAATTTACTCTCTTGTTGTCCAAAGATAAACTCGTGGACATCGTTTAAAGAAAGCAAACAAGCCCTTATTTGTTCCTGTGATATTAGGCTGCCATAGTGCTGCTGTGTACACACTTTCTCAGCCTGTGAAATTAGGAAGTAGCGCTCTTCATTAGCTGATAATGTCTTTTCAGAAGGGCACATTAGATGAAGTGTGGAAGTCAACGTTATTAACCTACAACAACCCAGTGACCTGTTTTGGACAAAAGTTTACAGAGATGAAGCTGGGGATTTTTGTGTCCCATTGATCGTGTCTAAATACACTTTATAGTTGTGGCGCTGGCTCAGCACACCAGCACTCCTTCTCTAAACTGATCAATAGAGTTGTATCAGGGAAACGATTCACTTATAAAGGTCCAAGCACAGGCTGCCTCCATATGCTCTATTGGTATTTATGTGGCTGGGTTAAAAACTCGATTTTAATGGTCATTTACTCAATGAAGCCTATTAAGAAGAAATAACTTTGGACTAGAGGTTCTTGTCAATAGAGTGAAGGAGCAGGGTCGGCTGGTGGATTAGTGTCAGGTGTAAAGGTCTCTGGCCTCTTCACTTGTCAATGCTCTGATTAGCTGCTACAGATCAATATGAGCACACAGATTTATGATTTTACTGTAAATATGAGAGGGCTAATTCTTGTCCTGTTTTACTAAGATGTTGTAAGGTCAGACGCAATCAATACAGACTGGTTAACTTGAGTTGTGCAATTATGGCTAAGTGCTATATATTTCATAGATACCACTACTTTGGACTGTTGTCATAAAAGATACTACAATTTTAAACTTGATACTACAGAAAGGCTTAATACTAATATAAATGTTGATTCCATAATGAGAATAAGAACTGTTTTTACACAATGGAATGTAATTTTCAACACAAAATAACAGTACTTCCTTTAATGCTATCATGTGATCTTTATATAGCTCAAGAGCATTCTAAAACTATTCAGGAAATGTCCAGCTATGTCCTGTTGACGGTATCATTTCAGCTGTGATACTTGTTCAAATGAGATTTAATAGATTGATTTAATACTAGTTTTAATATCAATCCATAATTTAAATGTAATGTTTTTTTTACTTTGTTTTCTGTTTTGATAAAATTGTGACAGCTGCCTTTGGGTTTTGCCTTTCTGCTGCTTAACATTTGTAAAAATCTAAAATCTGTATACACAGTCACTACACAGGGACCTGATTTTTATCCCCATAAGGAATTCAAGTACCTGTGATGTGAGTGCGTATAAAATTATTATTAGAACAACAACATGGTTTAAATATCAGATATGGGTTCAAATAAGTTAAGGTTAGGGTTTAGGTTAAGGTCTGGTGAGTGCTGACTATGGTTAAGGTTAGAATCAGTCTGAATGTCAATGTAATGTTTCTAAAGAAGCACAGAAACTCAAGTGAGTGTGTGTGTTCTACAAATGTGGACTACAAATTCCTCTCACAAACAGGACAAACTCAGTATTCAGCAGATAAAAGGGGGTGTCCATCCGTCAGTGCTGGAGCAGATATTAATTACACTGAACCCTCACAGCTCTGTCTGCTTCTCCACGCTTGTCCAATCACATTTCTCACAGGCCATTATGTGGGACAAGGTGATCCAGTGCTTACCAAGGAGATGAATTGACAAATTAAAACATCTCCAGGTTTGTAAGACGCCTTTGGAAACTCTGCTGAACATACACTTTCCTCTCGCCGCATTAAAAGAGATGAATGAGAGAGCAAATCCAGTTCTACTCACATGTTTGTTCAAAAGATGCTTTGACAGCTTCATTCAGACAACCCGTAACTCTTCTTGGAATTTAGTCTGCAGTACTACAACAATCATTTTTCAATTTTTTTCATTATTTAATGGGAAAGTAAACCTAAACATGCCATGCTACCACACATAATTCTCAACATTTTAGAGAATTCATTGGAAAGTATATAACAACTGATTTCAGATTTCAGAGTGTGATGATGCTGTGTCATCATTCAATAGTTTTACCTATTGATTACATGGTATTTTGTAAGGAATATCCAAAATAACAAAGAAATAAAAAGAGGTATATTTAGTGTATTAAGTTAGTTGGCCCCCATTCCTTGTGAGGGTTTCATCCTGGCCCTCCTACCCCTCCCTTCCCTGTTCTTTCTCTCCTTACCCTATTTGGATTTTCCTGGGCGGACCCCAATCACCTGCTGAGCTCCACTCCTGATCCTCGTCAGTAATCATCTCCGGCAATAAAAGACCTGCTGACCTGCTCTCCAGTGTCAGATCGTTCCGTCAACCAAGTGGTGAACTACTCAGGCTTTTTGTGTTTTTGAGCATTTTGAAAGTTTTTTGACTCTTACCTGTTTACTTTTGTCCGTTCCCCAGTTCAACCGTTTTGGAGCCAGCCTCATCCCGTTAGCACCTGTTCTGCAAGCCTCTGGTCAGCCTCTTCACCATTGCACTTCAGCCAACCTGGACCCGTCCTACCTCCCCTGGAATCTATCCCCCTGTCCACGACTATTTTTGTTAATAAATACTTTTGTTTCCCTCTGCATATTTGGGTCCGACCAATGATTCCTTAACATTCCTTTTCAATATTATAGGCCTATAAATGTAATAAATGTAATTTTATCATTAAAATCTACTTAACTGACTTTATTTTTGCTACATTTACACAGTGTGCAACACTTTATCATAAATAATAAATAAATACATATAATAATTAATCAAACATGAAAAAAGATTTTAATCATAATGGTTTAGAAAGTATACTTAATGCCCTATCCCTAACTCCTAAACTTACGGTAATCATTTAATTAAGTAGTTACCGGAATCATTCATAATAAACTATTTGTTCAATACAAATTAAGTCTTTGTTCATGCTTCATTAAGGCCAGTTAAAGTGTAGTTATTATAAAGTGATATACAGTGTCTATAGACCAAATGTTGCCTGTACTACCTGCTCTCTTTATATCCCTCCACACCCCGAGCCTGGAAGTGAAATTAAATAACAGTACAATATATTGGGGCTATTTGTCTCCATCTGTCTGCGCGTGAACAGGAGCGGGTACGTGCTGTCCTGACCCCTAGCAACCATCACTCAGCCCGGCGACCACGCTCTGATTTATCTCACGTCAGCACCGTCGCTCACATGCCTGCTATCATTTTAGCCCTGATGAAGAGTGCCATCGTAATGTGTTGGAATGAATGTTTTGTCCAGCAGCTTCCAGCATCAGCTCAAATCGATGGAGCATGTAATTGGTGGCCACTTTGTGTGATTGCTAAGCTAAATAGACATTGTTGTGGACATGGAGAGATCAATGTCACACATGCCAAAAGCATGGGAGCGGACGGAGAGGGAATTTATGGGCCGTGCGTCATATTTAACAACATGTGGTAACTATCCGCGCTGCAGTTTTGTGGTTATGGCTGTTATATGGACAAATGGAGCAAAAACATTGTGCAGATTGAATCCATGGAGTCTCAATGCTATAATACTTTTAAAGGTGCTATATTACGCAAAATTGACTCTTGTGAGCTTTAAGCTGTTAGAATGTTGTTACCTCCTCAAAAACATGCCTGGAGTTGTATTTAGCTTCATTCACACATGTTTGAGTAACTCTTAGGCTCCAAAGCTCAAAATGCTCTTTTCCACTTCTTGATGTCATTTAGTGGTAGTTTTCAAGTTCACAGCTACCTTTTACCTTTTGTTCAGTAGAGATGGCAACTCCAAGTCAGAAATGATTCTAGTGAAGGTGTATATAGTTTAAACACACACACAGCACTTCCTGTACATCACAAGGTAAAACAGACTGTTTTCTGTTTGAGAGAAGAATTCAGCCTAAAAATGCAGGGTTTGTGTGTCAAACATGTGTGAATGAAACAAAACACAACTCCAGTTATGTTTGTGATGAGGAAACAACACTAATACAGATCAGGAAATAGAGTAATATAGGTCCTTTTAATACTTCTAATATTTCTAGTAATACTAATATTTTTTGTAAGTTTAGGACCTGCATGTACTTTGACATTTGACAGTAATAAGTTGTGTAGTGCTTAATAGTAAGACATTTGGAACACTTGCTAGTAGGGCTTGGCAATTAATCAAACTTTAATCAAGATTGAGATTCAGTCATGTCTGAACGTCAATGATCTGCTTGGGTCCTTTTAATTTAGCAAATCAGCTAAATCCTGGCAAAAAATCCTCTGTTAGTAAAAGCATGACGTTTGGAGCAGAGTTTGGATAAAGTGTTAAATTGCGTAGATTTTTATTTTGCTTTTGAAAAGAAAATATAAAAATCAAATAAAAAATTTAGATGAATTAATATGACTTTTTTATAGCTTTTTTGCCATATATAGCCCAGCCTTATACCTTAACTGTACTCACTAACAACTACAAAATACTAAATAGAAATACAAAGCGTGGCTAATTCATAATTTACTCTATAAAAGATCATGCATTTACTTGACTGACACACTTTTAATTAATTACACCCCACCACCAAAAGAATACAACCACTGAATAGAAATCACAGTGAAACAATAACACTGTTGGATGAGCACTGCTTACACCAGATTGGTGCAGGCATAACTAACATCCATCAAACTATAATGAGTTGATTGTGAAAATGATTGTGTGGGTGTGGCCTTGAAATGCTGACAGCTTTCTTATGGGCTCACCTTGGTAACTCAGCAGGAGGAATCCAGGGTTTGACTGCTGATCGCTCCGAAAGCGGATTGAGATTTGGTTGCTCCAGCTGCGCAGTACAAGGCCCCGCATCAGCACCGATTCGTTGGCCAGGATGGAGGGCTCTCTGCCACCTGTGTCCTCTACAGTCACCTGGTCCCCATCCAAAACACTCACATTCACAACCTGGAAATGTACAAAGGTAGTTTCAGCCAAACAGACACACAAACAATCATCCTTGACTTTATAGCACAGTATTATGAAAACAGAACTCTCATTTGACCATTGCCATGTGATTATTTCTCTTTGGATGCATGTTGACATTTATAAATTAGCACATGAAAAAAATCATTCTACTTGCACTTAGGACCTGTTTACACGAGAATGCTTGCGGGTAAAAACAACAAAATATTTTATCAGAAGTGCCTTTCGTTTAGACAGCGACGGCATCTTGGGGGCTTAAAAACACAAAAATCTGAAACCACCCTCCAGAGTGAAAAGTTGAATATGCTCCGCAGCAGCATTTCCATCTAAACTGCCAAAGACACAAAACTCTGGTCAGATCTGCTCACGTCGTGTAAGTGTTTACGTCACATACAACACCACCTAGCGTCACCACCTAGCAGCCTGGCATGCATACCCAATTGAATTCCTCACACTTTTGCGTCACTGTATGCATGTAGATTTCCTCCCAAAAATGCTCGTCTAAACACAGAATAAAAAGTAAAGATGAGACACCACTTTGTGTCTTCTATTCAGACCATAATCATATAAACATACACTTAAACACATTGCTTGTTATGATACTAATATGGTGCAGTCTTAGTATAGTTAAGTCTTAATACAACATAATTTAAAAATGTTATTGTCTATATTAAGATTCAACAGTGCGTGGAATTAGAAATGTTGATGTGTGATTTATCATTTTAATCTACTATCTCCTTATTGTCCAAAAAACAACAGACAGCATGTATTCCACAATTAATTACTGTATTTATTATAAAATGTTAACTTCCAACAGGCACATTCATTTGACTAGAGGGATGTTTTTGGTGGCTGTTGCTGTCATCAGGGGTACAAACATATAAATTAGAATGCCTTTGTGCTCTCCTTGTGCCCAAGAGCCGCTCTGACAGCAGCGTTTTATGTCTTCAACAGGTTTGAGCAGCATCTGCACTGAAATCTGGAGTGAGACTCTCAGGAGAGCACTGTGCAGTTAAACTGTCTGGATAATGGAGGACTGACACATTTCACAGTAACATCTGATTCATTCCCCACAGAGCCATAAGCGCACCATGTTCATCCACAGCTAATGGTTATGAGCAATAAAGCTGCAAAAGTTTTCATTACTTATTATTTTATGGCTTTGCTAGTATTTCTATTTCTTTCTGTCTAAATCCTGAAATGCAATCAAGTCCAAGCCTCCAAAGTCTCAAGGTCTTTTTGAAGCCTGTAGTGTGATGCACACCGGCTGTGCAAGCTAATGCAGTCTTAGGCAGTGGGCCGAGGTCGGCCAATGCCACGAGGCAGAAAAAGGCGCGCCCCCCGCAGGCCCCAGTCCCACAGGTAATAAGTGAGCAGGAGTTTTAGTGCAGCCGCCTGGAAAAGCTCAGACTGTGGAGATGAGCACAATGTGCAATTGCAACAGCAGCAGAATACATTTGTGCTGCTGACAGGCTGTCATTCAGCTGAAGGGAGCACAGGGCTAATGGACAGAGCTCAGCTTAGAGGTGACTGTGTCCTGCTTATGTGAGGAGGGGGCAGCTCAGGGATTGACTGATTGGATTTTTATCACAAGTACAATTAGACTTGACACACCTCTGCAGCTTTTCCATCAACAACCAACAATAGATGTTTAGTGAAAATAAATGGCCCATTATGTAGATGTCTGTGCATAATTGTTATGTAAAATCTTGTATAGTGACATTGAAAAAATTGCCTTGTCATTGCCTAGAAAAAGGTTTCAAGGCAATGACAAACACAGACGTGCTATATTTTTGTGCTTTTCTTTTTAATTGTACATTTTCTGAAATTATCTAGTGTTGCACTAGCTTTCAACAATACATTCTACTTCATGTTTAAATTGGTTCTATGTCTTATAATTACAGTGCCACCTCTGCACAGATGTTAATGAAACATTAACAAAATGACTTGATTATTGGATAGACTTACAGAGAGCAGGTGAGCAGACACAGTGGACAGGGAACATTTGGACTGATATACAGTGCTGCCCCAGAGGGCCCTATCATCTGTCACCGCCCTGGGACCTGTCAGAGCACCAGCAACAGCTGTCCTGCCTCAATTATGAATCATTGGGCATGTCAGGAGACATCAGACTGCCTTATCTTCAGCAACACTGCAGCCAAAAGCCCAGAGGGACCTCGTTCACACTTGTGCTCCTCACATACTACACTTGTACAGTATGAGGCTCCCACTGGTTTAAGAGACATTACATTGATCTAGTGTAATGGCAATGCAGTCTAACCTAAACCTTGAAACATCTCTTAACCTTCAAATGGAATCATTTGGGTAGTAGAGGATGTCCCTGTGGGGAAGTCACGTCCTACAGGGAGAACGTGGGCCTGCACTCATAACATATTAAAGGGCCAGGAGATCATCACACACACATATGCACACCCACACCCACACATACACATACACATACACATACACATGTTGTGATGGGAGCAGGTCTATTGTAACCAGCAGCCAAAACCTCTGCCTCAGCAGCCACATCTGTGAGAGTGGATTTGGCTGACCAAGCACAGTCCCATACCATGCTCAACATTATCACAGGATACCATCAGCAATCTGGTATTTCCATTTTTGGAATAAATTAAAGTAAAAGAAATACATTCTCATTGTAGCTAAATCAAACAATTCCTATTCTGAAACTGCTTGTGGAAGTCAGCTTCTCTACTGCAGCCACAGCCTCTTCAGTCAAACCACTATAATGAACAGACTATCCTGAAAGGCCAAAGTACAATTGATATTTCACAATCCATGCTGAGTACAAAAAGTTCTGTACAATGATTTGATATTTGGTGCTCTGAAGCTTTAATCTCTACATTTGCAGTGTGACCTTTGTAGCACAGGGCCACCTGTGTGCTGCAGTGAGGGGCCGTGCTGGTGAGAAGCACGCGCTGGAGGAGCTGCTCTTATCACATCTAAGCAGAAAGCAGCCTGCCATGCCATTTCATCTGAGACTTCAGTCCCCTCAGCTATCTGACAGCAAGTCTCACATAAGAGATAATCAGAGCCACCATAAAACACTGCTTTTAATGAAAACAAATGCTTTTCTATTGATGTGAAAGTAATGTATCATAAAAAAACAGGACAAAAATGTTTCTATTGTTTGGTAGCAATTTATAATAACTGCCTTAATTAAGCATGTTCAAATCCTTAATTTATAATGGTTTGTGACTGGAGTGATTATTCAAGTAAATACCCTAACTACTAACTCTATAACACCTGCTCATTGTCACTATCTGCTCACTGCTTATACGAACTACATCTTTATTCATGCTAGAGGAAAGTGTCACATGACCATAGCTATGCATTCCATTTTTATTCAACTCAGCTTTTCGTTCACTTTTTATGACAATTATTAAAAAGTGCAATTTTATATTTTATTTTAATACTAGCAGCAGATTATTTATGTGTTATTTTTACAAGAGAACATTTTTGAATAAAAAGGCAAAATCATCACACAGCACGTAATCTCCATCCACTTTTAGTTACAAGAGCACTGCTTACTGCCTATATACAGTGCAGGTAGGCTGTCTCACACTGATAATTTACGGCGACAAACATCTGGCGGTGCTTTGCTATTCACTTTCGCAGCTCGCGGAGGCCACTGGCGATGCACAAATGAGCAGTATATAATCAAAATGATCCAGCTATACATGGAAATGAAATGACCCTGCCTCTGGGGCCTATAAATCAACTTCTATTGGACTGGAAGCTGCAGTGTCATCAGTATACGATAAAAACCTGCAGCCAATACAATGGACACGCACCTCCTGCTAAAGACTGCAGCTTCTCCTATAAGCTCCTCGTCCAGTTGGTGTTTTGTGCGCCTCCTGATAAATCCATACCAAATACAAGTTCTTCAGGGCTCATTATGCTAAAAACCTCTTAATTGAACATTCACCTTCGTTATAAAACAGCCAACGCTGCCAAACACTATAAAACAATGGTACCACACTAATCAGCTGAAGCAGTGTGCTAATGAGAATGGGCTTAAAACAACAGTTAAATGAAAAACGAACTTCCTCATTCTGGTTATTGCTACGTTTAACATTGGCTATTACTCAGTATGTAAAAATATTCATACTCTACCCCAGGAGTTTTGAGCAGACATTCATTTAAATAAAGTTATAAGATATTACAGTAATTATGCCATTTTGTGGAAAATAGTAATTACTGAAAGCTGTAGCACTTTTCTGATAGGTATCCACAGAATTAACAAAAAAATAAGAATCAATCAATATCAATGTGGAAAACAAAATTTTCAAAAACACTCAAACCAAAATCATTACAATTTGTAATGTGTTTCAAAGCAAATATACAAGAATATAAGATTGACTGCGCCTCAATTTACTACAGAACAGAGATGCTAAAAAGTAAAAGTTAATTTACAGCACAGTTAAATAAGGAGTATAGCTGGGGTGAAAAAGGAGTCTAGGGTTGTTAGCAGCTAAAAAGTTGAGTTTCCATAAGTCAACCGGGAGTTACTGTATTGCTCTCAAAGTCTAAAAGTATGAGCTTTTGATGCCAGATACACCCTCTGCGAGTTAATGACTTTCGCTGTTTAAAATATTTTTATTACTTCAGATTGTAACTTCCGGATAAATCAACTTCGAAATGGCGCCGGGGCCTTGACACTCCGTTTATTTGTTGCTCTGTGCAGTTTTGCATAGATTTAAATTCATGCATTGCTGATTACTGCTCATATTTTTGAGCGTGCATATTTACTGTGCCGTCCCTGCGGTGACACTGAAAGAGAGTGGTGCTCCAGACAGACTCCTTCTTGGTGACAGCTCGCAGGGTGGAGGAGGAGGAGGAGCAATTAATGTCACCTGAAAGCATTCCTCACGGGATGACTGGGTCCCACCAAAACTCATTTCAGCAAAGCCCTGACACCCTAAAAAGCTCATCAAGATCAAACTGGCCTTCTTTATGTC